GTGCCTTAAATATGTATCTTGAAATTGTTACTGAGGCTGTGCTGTCCTCAAAATCACTAGTGCTTTTCTGGTTGTGAGCTGTTGGCCTGGATCCACTTGGAATCCACCCAGGGCCCATTTTAAATGAAGGACATCATGTTCTGTTTGTCATATTACTGAGCAGTCTTGAGGACTTCCCTTAAAAGCCAGTTAGAAGTAAAACGAGGAAGTGAAGAGTCATAAAAGGGATCCTTGTCATCAAATAACATTTTGAGCTCACTCTATTAACACACTATTAAAAGGTCCTGGCTCATGGGCTAGGGAAGCTACTGAGAATGATTAAAGACTTGGAAAGGCAATGTTTGAGGATGCACACCAAATCCATCTCTCATTATTTCAAACAACCTGGCCAATTCCTTTCAAACCACCATTTCACCAGTTCCTGGAAACTGCAGGAAAGGACAGTGCTCTTCCACTCAGGTTCTGCTTGCAAGCTTCCCATAGACATCTGGCTGGCTTCTGTCAGAGCAGAATGCTGGACTACATGGGCCACTGGCCTGGTCCAGAAAGATTTCCTTGTCTTTTCATGTACATTTAGAACTGCCCCTCCCCAAATGCATCCATGATGCCACTTCTTTTCATTCTCTAAAACTCCTGACACACCCCTCCTTTTTCTTTGAAAGCCTTGGTACAATCTCTTCGTACCTATTCCCTGCATTAGGGTTGAGGGACCTATGGCCCTCGAAATGTAGCTGCATCTCCTATCATCCCTGGACATTGGCCATGCTGGCTGGGGCTGATGGGACTTGGAGTCCAACAATATCTGAAGGGCCACAGGTTTTCCAAACCATTACTCTGCTCCAGGTAGTAAGAGTCACCAAATATGTAGGAAGTTCCACATTTTAGGATAAATGCAAACATTGAAATAAAATATACATTTAAATGTGTGTGTGTGTGTGTGCGCGCGGCACGCAAGCACCCCCCCTCCAGATTAAAGCTGAAATGTGATCAAATGGGGTCACACATGTGAAACAGACACAAACTGGGGGGTGGGGTGGATGTTCTGGTCACCTAAGATGGCCTCCATAAAACATCGTAAACCAGGTGTTGGGAAACTTTGGTCCTTCAGTTATTACTGAACTACAACTCCCATCAGCCCTGGAAAGCATAACCAAAGATCAGGGATGATGGTAGCAGAAGTTCAGAAAAATCTGGAGATTCAAAGGTTCATCACATCTTCTATAAACACCCCTCCCCACTTCTTCAAAACCGGCTCCATAGGACCCAGGGGCAGGAAGCAACAGCAAAGGTTTTGTAGATCTTCCTTTGGAAAGTAAAAATAAAAGTAACTTTTTTTATTTCTGCTTTGATCTGTCATGTGTAAAATCCATCACCTTCCCTGAGATGGCAGATCATTCCTCACAGGATTCTGATTGATAGCGCTGGAACCTTAGATCAAGCAGCAAAACAATAAGAGAGGCTGGTTCATAAAACGTACTCTCCGTGTCTCTGGTTTTATATTTGGCTTCCTGTAGAGAGAGCTTTGGTCCCATTAAATGCACTATATACCACTGAGCCTAGAAATGCACTCTCCTCCTCATCCTGAAAGCAGGCATATAACCATATACACCATGATTGACATATCTACTACTGCTTGTTATAAACTACGGAAACACTTTTTGTGATAAACTCAACTAAAATATTTTTTTCCAGCGCACAGTCTCAGCCTATCTGTTTAAAGGAGCAAAACCATTTTTAAAAAAGCGAATATGTCAACTATTTTATTGTAGAAATGGCACACTGATGTAACCTTGAAATAGGCTGCATACATGCTAACCTGCCTGAAGCACAAAAACACAGTTTTTTCTCAATCTGGACTTGTCCATGCTCATCCTCACCATACTGCTTTCAATCTACACAAGGTTAGGTGTGGTTACTTGAAAATACTCCCCTTAATTAGGTTATCCATGCCTTTTTCTCCCTGGACATGCCCCAGGTGAAGGAAGAAGGAAGTAGTGATTGAAATATTGGAATACGCCCACCTACATTATGCATATTATGCACAACGGGTGGCGCTGTGGTCTAAACCACAGAGCCTAGGGTTTACTGATCAGAAGGTCGGCAGTTCGAGTCCCCGCAACGGGGTGAGCTCCCGTTGTTCAGTCCCTGCTCCTGCCAACCTAGCAGTTCGAAAGCACGTCAAAGTGCAAGTAGATAAATAGGTATTGCTCTAGCGGGAGGTGAACGGCATTTCCGTGCGCTGCTCTGGTTCGCCAGAAGCGGCTTAGTCATGCTGGCCACATGACTTGGACATATGCTGGCTCCCTCGGCCAGTAAAGTGAGATGAACGCCGCAACCCCAGAGTCGTCTGCGACAGGACTTAATTGTCAGGGGTCCTTTTTATATTATGATATAGCTGGAACCACCTAAACCTGTTTTTCAAATGGACACACTGCAGGGTAACACAGAATCAGGCTGCAACCAGATTATGTTTTCTGAATTAATCCAGTTTCTCAATAAGAGCTTATTGGGGGCATAAAAACATGCAGTATTTCCCATTCTTGTGGGGACTACATAGAAAAAAGAACAAAGACTCAGCTTTTGTCGATTCTAGATTAAAAATGCCATAGCTATGCAGCCATATTGTGTTCTCAACAACACAACGACATTCTGCTGATGTGCTAACACCATTTTGCAGAAAAAAACAGGGAGTAGAGAGCACCTTGTGGTTCGCCGCTGGCTGAGCAACTTCCTAGCATTCTCACCTGTGACACACACAATTCCCTCCCCCACCAGAAAGTCAACACTGTTTTGCAAAACACCTAAAAATAAAATGACAAGAGTGGTTTTGCTACTTCCCTATCAAAAGGTATTAACAAAGATGGCCTGAGCATATATGCTCAATGCTCAGAGTCCCTAAACATCCTATTGCCAGAAGCTAGAAATGATTGACGTTGCAAGTCCAGGCTTCTGCTTTCCCTTGCTGACAAGCTGGAGAATTCTCAAGTACAATGAGGTTTATGTTTTTTCTCACTAAATAGAAACTAACAGACAACTGCCGGAGGGAGGGAGGCAAAATGCTGGCCCCCTAGGCAATCCCAGCTGGCAGAATGCTTCGAAAGCCTTCGAAATGAAGAGGAGGACCTGCTTCATCCCTTCTGCCTGCCAAGGGAACCTGGCCTCTTAGCTAATAATAATAGAATTGTAAGAGACCATGAGGGTCAACCAATCCAACCCCTTGCGATGCAGGAATATTTAGCCCAGCATGGGGCTGGAACGCACAACTCTGTGATTAAGAGTCTCATGCTCTGCCCACTGAGCTATTCAGGGTTAGCTAAGCCTCCACATCCCTGTCATGGCCAATGTTCTCTGGAGCTACACTGCTCCTCTCAGCAAGACTTTTGTACCTTTGCATGTATTTATACAGCCATTTTGGCTTGAAAAGGTTTGTAGATTAAGATAACAGGACGAGCCTGCTGGATTAGGCCAGTGGCCCATCTAGTCCAGCGTCCTGCTCTCACAGTATTGAGATGCATTATGTGTCAAGTTTGTGGCTATCACTGCCTCCTGTAGGAGCAGGTCAGGAGGTGACTTGCACTGGAGATACTGCAGTTACACTGTTCCCTAAGTGTCTAGCTGTCACTGGATGCCTGCACACATGGGAAGATGGTGGCTTGTCAGTCAGCAAACATGCACTTGCATTTTGTGAACTAAGGCTCCTTTTCTGCACCTCTGTCTCCCATAGGATTCTGGTAAGGATGGAAATTCACTACTTCCTTCAAACCCTTCCCAGTGGTTGCCAGCAGGTCCTGCCAGTAGATCCCCTCACCAGCTATTGTTGAACCTTCCCAGCTTGAGCTGGCCTTTGCTCCTAGATTACATGAATCTGGTAAGCAATAAAGCCCCTTCCACATAGACAGCACTGGTATATTGTCCTTACACTTACTATGCTGGTTGGAGTTTCAATAATACCTCTCCAACCACTTCTTATAATGTGGTGGGGGCAGACAAAGAATCTAGAAGGAAGAAACCCAACACTTCCTGCTTAGTTATTGGGTGAAAGAGGTCAACATACATATACTCTGCTGAACTTTCACACAAACTATGGTGTGTTCTGGGTGTATTTGAGATGAAGTATTAGTAACAGTTCTCAGAACTAATAGAGACAGTGGAACAACAAATGTGGAATGAAACTTAGTGGATAAAGTGCCTTACATACACAAAGCATTAGAATACACACATATACAACACAAATTATACATATATATATCCTGCCTTCCCACAAGCATTTATGCATACCCTTCCCTCTCATGCTTTCAGTGATGAGCATTTTGATTCTGTAGGGTAAGATTTACCCTCTGCCCCAGAAATCCATTTTCTGGGGTTTTCTATGAGTCACTGTTCCAGGCATGCCTTTTGATTGGAGGGCAGCCTCTTTCAAAGGATTTCTCTCCATTGGGAATGATTGGATGCTCCAAACTCACCCAGTGCAGAAATGAGACGGGAACACCTTTCTTTCCTTTGCACAGAGGCTAACCAGAAGGAGGGAAAGCTAGAGGATAATCATGCATAGTGAAACTGCAGGCAGCTTCTCCCATAGATGAGCACTTCTTTTTCTTCTTTAAAAATAATTAATTTCCCACAGCGTGCTAGTGTTCCCCTGCACATTGGGGTAGACTCAGATATGGTCATGCTTGGATTAGACCCATTAACATGCCCAACAATTTCATGGACCTACACTAAGCATTATTAAGTCTGGATTCTGACCATAGTTTATGAATGATCTTGAACGCAGCCTAGATATTGCTGGACTATATATATTGCTGGACGCAGACTAGATATTGCTGGCTTCAAGTAGCATGACAAACTGGTCAGGGATTATGAGAGTTATAGCCGAGCCCTATGTGGAGGGCACCATGTTGGGAAAGGCTGCATTGCACTACATCACGGCAGGTAAACACAGCATCATCACTCAGGCATAGTGAAAACTTTTCAAGGAGGAAGGAGAGGGAATTACTTACGATTTCTGTGGCACTGATTTGGTTGCAACTTTGCCAGCCGGCTCTCCCCATTCTGAAAAGAAAGAAATCACATCCATATAACTGCACTGAATTTAACAGCACCCTCAAGAAAGGCTTAAGTGACATAAAAACTGTTCCACAACACATTAACACAACAATGTGAAGAAACAACATCTATTTCAGCAGCGCACTGATTAATTTTAAACCTGTTGTCTTAATGATACTGTATAGTGGGCCGAAAATGATAACTAATAGTTTCAAATAATATGAGGGAAGACCTACTTTGAACTCCACATCCTGAGGTCAGATGCTGTGGATCCTGTAACAAAAGCACACAAAATGTCAACATTAGTTAAGAACTTAAGAAGGAAAACCTGTATTTTCTCCTTAGACTAAGGCACCAAAGTGACCTTAATAAACAAAAGAAGCCCCTTACAGTATGTAGTTCTTGCAACAACAATGGCACCAGAGAGAAACATTTGTTCATTTGTACACTCAGAGAAAACTATTGAATTGTAGCCAATTAGGGCCCCTTCTGCACTATGCGTTTAAAGTTATAGCATGGCTTCCCCTAAGAATCAATGGAACTGTGGTTTCATGAGGGTGCTGAGAGTTACTAGGACACCTCTACTACCATCAGGTAGCTATGTGCATCTATGCCTATGAGTTGGATCATGATAAATTAAGGGGGGTTTTTTGGACTGGGCAAGTGAACAGGCAATCTTCCTACAGGGCTATGCCTGAGCCACTTGTTTCTGCAAGCGTTGACATATGAACCAAACAAGGCTCTGATATCACCATCAGAGGTCCATCTTTGTAAGCCTACTCCATGAAAGGCCCAGAGTGTGGCAACACAAGGATGGGGATTTTCTACAGTTCAGCTCCATGGTTGTGGAATGTTCTCCCTAGGTGGGCTCGCCTGGCACCATCATTATATATCTTATGTGCCAGACAAAAACTTTCTTCCATAACCAGGCCTTTGGCCTTTATGACCTTTCATAAGTGGGTAGGATGTATTTCCTTTCCCCCTTGGTTTTAATGTGTCTATGTGGGGTTTCTTGTTGGCTGGCTGGTTGGTTTTAAGTTGCTTTTGGTTGCCCTGGGCAAGATAAAGCAAATAACAAATAACAATAATAATAATGTCCTAGGTGATGGAGTAGAGACAGTGCCAACTTGAAGTTTGAGCCATCTTTGGTCAAGGAAGCAAGATAAGAGTGTTAAGCAGCTTCTGGGCAGGTAGAGAATCAAATAATCATAAAACTGTAGAGTTGGGACCACAAGGGTCATCTAATCCCACACCCTGCAATCTAGGAAGCATTTACCCAACATGGGATTGAACCCATGAGCCTGAGATTAATAGTCTCATGCTCTACCGATTGAGCTATTCCAGGATTTGATAAAGTACCACTTCTGGCAATCTATCGGGCTTGTCCCTGGGATATGATTCAGTGCCCGTAACAACCTTCCCAGACAACTACAACACCTCCTGGGACCGGACATCGCTTGTCACACACTTCACCAGGATAACTGACCTCCAATTCTTCAAACTTCCCCCACCCCTCTTCTGTAGCTGGCCAGCCCTTCCAAGATGTCTCTATGGGGCGCACAACAACATTGTTGATATGCATAATTAAGTTGAATACGTTCAGGGTTGAACTGACGCCAGTGTAGCCAAAACAGTAATCTAATTCAGCTGAAGCAACCTATGGTCTTGATGCCCAGTCTGCATTTCAAAGTCCACTCTTAACCTACCTGTGCCTTGCCCGAAATGGGAAACTTATTCTGTTCAGCCTTTCCAGGTGTGTGTATAGCAGTAAGTGGTGGAGGCCAGGAATGGGTCATCTCCTAGCAAGAGAACAAAGAAAAATCAGAAGAATGTAGTCCACATTATACCCCCGGCTATTTTCTCTGGGTTGTAGCCAATGCAAGTTCTACTCAGAGCAGAACCACTGAAATTCATTGCCATGGCTACCTTAAGTTCATTAATTCCAAAGGATCTATGGTGAGTAGAACTTTGTTGGCTACAGCCTTCTATTTTGCTTATGATTTAATGAGCATTCAGAAAGACATTGACCATTTAAAATATATTTAAAGTACAATGATACCACTTCAATAGTCATGGCTTCCCAAAAATAAGTTTATTAAGGATTCTCTGAGTGTTGTTAGGAGGCCCCTGTTTCCCTCCTAGAGCTACTATTCCCAGAGTTCCCTGTGAAGAGGGATTGTCTGTTAAAGCACTTAGTGGATTGTAGCTCTGTGTGGGGAATGGGGTGTCAAGATTTTCACCCCTCAGTGTAATGATTTCAGAACAATCAAACTGGATAAGAAGAGTAATATTCAATGTTCATCTTCATTTTCTCCAGTGAAATACTTATTCCCAACACAGAAGCTCATCCTTGTTCTAAGTTAGCAATACAGCTGGACCTGATACACACTTCCGAAACACTGTTAGGGAATAATCAAGGTTTCTTCATTCACTTATTTGTGGAAAGAATTAAATGTCTAAGATTGGAAGGATTTGAAAAAATATCTGAGTATCACAGAAGTAACAGAAATATTTTAAAGTGGGGTGTAATGGAAGTTCAGAAAATCAAACCAGGGTTTACTTCCATGTGGTTTGGACTTACAGAATCATGTTAGCTATAGGAAAGGGTGCAGAGTTTATGCACTGAAAGAAAAGGGATTAAATGACAGTTAAGTGAGTATGGTTTTGTTGGCTTCAGAGTTGCACAGCTTCCGGGTCATGTGGCCAGCATGACTAAGCTGCTTCTGGCGAACTAGAGCAGCGCATGGAAACGCCATTTACCTTCCCGCCGGAGCGGTACCTATTTATCTGCTTAGCAAAGTGTACTCCTTCCTGGAAAATTTATTTAAATATTGTTTTAATTGACACGGTGTGTTTTATTATAAGTGCTAGGCATGCACACTTCTCCAGCCAAGTCTCCTCCTTCTTTTTCTCCCCCCCCCCTTCCAACCATCCTTTTAAACTAGCTGTACATGCCCTGAGGTAAGGAACTGAGAAGGATAGCATACAGAAGATGCTTAATGAATAGCTAGGGAAAAAGAAGCAACAGCAGCATAATTTGTCTGCAAGGCTGTAGGGTTAATGGTTCCTACAGTGCTCAGAAGGACTGGAGAGAATTAGCAGGAGGCTCGTGTAATTCTGCAAGGCAGGTTTGTGAAGCAGTTGCTGCAGGAGGAACTCCCGTCTACAAGTAAGAAACGCCAAGAAACTTTCAGTAAATGAGCCCAAGGAATTTGGAGTAGCATCAATTGCTCTCTTTTCAAGTGATTGGTTGTCTTAAAAGGAGGCTGGCTAGATTGATAGTGGGTAGATCTATCGTGAGCTGAGAGGCCACCAGTAGTTGCTGGCAGGGTGGTTTGGTGAAGGTGGGGCTTCCCAACACCATGCATCACTACCACTTATGGAAAGGGAGAGGGGCAAGGTAGCAATGGAGCTTGGCATGGTGTGTGTGCAGCATTTGGAGCATTGGATTGGCTCCAATGCTGTGCTTGCACCATGCTGAGCTCCCTTCTGCCTTCTTCCCTCTCTCCTGGTAAGCAGAAGTGATGCATGGCATTAGGAAACTGGGAGAGCAGCCCAGCATCAGCCCCACTGCCCCACCAGCTGCCACTGTAGGCAATAGTATCTAAATAGAACTTCCATGTTCGGATGGAACATGGGGAATAAAAATATGAGTAGGGTTATTGCCTTTAACTTCATATCTCACTTGCAAGTTTCTCAGGTGTTAAGAGTTTGCCCTAAAGCTATCAGAGCTGTGGACTTTTTCTCAGAGTCTCAGGGGAAGCAGTTAAATCAGAATTGAAGACATAATTGCCAATATTGTGCTTTGCTGAATCTGAGCTGCCTTAAATCCGTGCTGTGTTATTTGTATATTATGCAATCTGAGTGGAGGAGCCTTTCCTAGATGGTGGCCTCAGTGTTTAGCTCCTCACCTCTGGAGGGCCAGATTTGACAGTGGGGTTCCCAAATGCCAATCACCTGACATCACAGTGACATCAGGGGACGGCACACTTTAAAGGCTCAAGGCTTCAGAGTGAAGGATGGGGCTGTTTGAAAGCCTTTTTGCAAATCATCCCATGCTGCTCTTTAAACCTCTGATCTCTTGGGTGTGGAGTTCCATTATGCAAGGGTAAATCCAATGGAACAAACTGCTTAGCACTGCACTGGACAAAAGTCACAGGGTTGTATCAAACATAAATCATACTCAAGAGTAGACCCACTAGCCATGCCCATTATTTTCAATGGCTCTACTCTGAGTTGGGCTAACATGAGATGCAACCCATAAAATTCCAGCTTACCAATGGAGCAGCAACACATATGTAAAGCTGCATCAAAGGACAGGAGGAGTAAAGCTAATTTTTTTTTTAAGAACTACTAATACTAAGTAACATATAATTTTATCTCTGAAAATTTTAAAACCCTGGCAGGGTTCTTTCCACAAAACAAAACAAAACCCTCCTGTCGCTTCTTGTTCTGCATGGGTGGTTTTTTAAGGGGTATGTGATAATTTGTTCCATCCATCTCAAGAAGTACAAACAAATTAAGAAACAAACAAAAATACCCACCACATAGGCTTCCCTTAAAAATAGCCAACACTTGGGCTTTGCTCCAAGAAGAGAATGTAATTACAATTTGCAATTGTCAGACAAGGCTGGAAATATCCAAAGGCATTTATTTGCATGTATGTATGCATGTATGTTCAGACTGTTTCCATTTCACGGTGTAATCAATTCCAATTCCATACACAAAACTTAGCTGACAGTTGCAAAACAGATTGATGCACAAATGGGAGCAAGGTTGACGCAAATGTTTGGGACATCAGCGGCAGGCGTCTACTTCCCAACATTGACTCTGCATTTTCTGCCCCTGTCCGGAGATCCTTATTGAGACCTTGTGAAATTGACAGCCATGTGTTGTTTTTCATGCAATTCTGCAATCATTCAGAACCCAAAGCATGATAATTATTGTGTGCAGTTCTGTTGTCTCACCTCAAAAAGGATATTGTAGGGTGGGGAAAGGTTCAGAAGAAGGCAACCAAAAAGGAGGAAAAGGCAACCAAAATGAACAAGGGGATGGTGGAGCTACTCCCTTACAAGGAAATGTTGTAGTGTATGGAGAAAGAGCTGTTGTATGCCAGGTTGCAATTTATGTGGCAAGCAAGTTGGAGAAATTTGGCAGGAAAATAAATGGAAGAATCCATTGCAAAGGCTCTCTTCAGCACAACACAGCCCTGTGCATCCACCTAATGGTCTTGAGTTTATAATTTAGTATCCCATTTTAATGAAATGCATTCATGGCTTATACGAAGCAAGTTAGAATTAAACCAAGGAAATGGAGAATTCAGGCTCTGAATCCTCCTATGTGCTAAATTGAGTGCTAATGTGCCACTGGCTGGGATTGATGTGTTTAAATCCTTGAGGATTTTGGCTGGACTCATCTTGGGCCTTTTGCAAAGATGCAGATTAGTGACGGACTCCAGTGGTTTGGAGGCTTAGTGCATAAAGTAGAACTAAATGGTTTCAGGAATAATTCCACAAACAGGCACTGTGACAGTTTAGTTTTGTCCTTTAGAGAAACCAGAGAAGCTTCTTTTTTGGTGCTTTGGAAATCAGTGCTTCTGAAATGAAATGCACTCCATGAAATGTTTATCCTACTGAATCTAGCATCATGAAGGGCTCTATATCCACAGATTCTCTGCTCAGGGACTTCTTCCCAGAGAAAGGGTGGATGGCTCAGGTTATTTCTGTTCTGTGTCACTTTTATATGTGTTCTGTTATAGGTCTCCTTTGATCTGTTTTCTGCACACACACACACAAAACATATCATGCACAATGAATTCACATTTAAATTGTGTGCACTTCCACTCAAAGTATGTATTTTACATGTATTCTTTCCATAAAATGCATTTTTTGTAAGCTTTTCAATGCATTTCCCCCTAAATTGTGTATTTTTGTATGCATTTCTACAGCATATTTTGACCAGAGAGAGACCAGAGAGCCCCAATGAGTATGACCCCAAGACTTCAGATGGGGTTCTCTCTCAGCCCTACCTGAAGATGCTGAGGACTGAACCTGGGACATTCTGTATGCATATCAGATGCTGTACCACTGTGCCATGGCCCTTCCCCATGTTCCTTATGTTCCTAAGAAAGGAGGGATATAAATGTAACAAATAAATATTTGCAAATAAATCTAATTTTGTAAGCATCAGTTCAAGTCATTCCTTCTTCATTGGCTTTTCCTCCCTGAAGGTTGAATGTCTGGAGCAACTGTACCCCAGAAGATGACTCAGAAACTTCAAGTGGTTCAAAATGCAGTGGTTAGATTACTGGCTGGGGCTCCCTCCAGATCTCAAATAACCCCTGTTTTAAAACAGCTGCACAGGTTGCCAGTTCATTTCTAGCCCCAGTTCAAGGTGCTCATGTTATGTTTAAAGCCCCAAATGACTCAGGCCCCAAATATCTGAAAGAGTGCCTCCTTCTTCACAAGACCGAATTGGGGGCTAAGATTAGCAGAGAGTGCTCCATTGGTTGATCCACCAACCTCTGAAGCTCAGGGTGTGGTGGACAAGGAAAGGACATTCTCTGTGGCAGCCCCTAAGTTGTGGAACTCCCTTCACACAGAGGTACATCTGGCACATCTTCATTTATACAGCTTTTGGCAAATGCTGAAGAGGCACTTCTTTACCCTAGCTCTTAACACCTGAGATGTATGCTTCAGGACCTATCTAAAAACAGGTTTTAAATATTTTTTAAAATATTATGCTTTAATTGTTGCAACCCACCTTGGAACCTTAAGGTGAAAGGTGGTTAATAAATTGA